AGTCACTGCACAACACTATGGTAAAAATTATAATAATAAGGGCAAAATTGATGAGTTGCACCAAATTACAAAATCATCTGGTAGCTTGTACGCATTTCAATGTCCGAAAATGGCTTTTGAGGAATAAAAAGCTTATAAAATCTATCTAAAAACCTACTATACATACTTGTTTTTATGTATACTTTAACCTAATTCATTTCCAAAAAGAAATTTTTTTAGGGTGGCTTTTATGTTAGAGAATGCCTCATCCGCGTCATTAAACAGATTCGCAGATATACTCTGGTCTCGCGACGAATCTCTCGATACTTATATACACTGGAGTCGCCGTGTCAGTTGCGAGAACGGTTACAGCGTCCCTCTTTCGGCAGAGATAAGAATTGTCACGTAAACTGCAGGTATAATAAGGCCGTCGGTAAAGCGATTTAGCAGTTTACGTGACAATTCTTATCTCTGCCGCAAGAGGGACGCTATAACCGTTCTCGCAACTGACACGGCGACTCCAGTGTATATAAGTATCGAGAGATTCGTCGCAAGTCCAGAGTATATCTGCGAATCTGTTTAATGACGCGGATATCTCTTGCCTATCATCTGCGAATCTATTTAATGACGCAAATATCTCTCGCCTATCATTGATTTTTCAATGATAGAATTTTTTGCAGAATGCTATTTCCTTATAGCTGCTGCATTTTTAAATAATTATAATTTATAAATAATAAATTATTTATTATTTACATGAATTATTAAAAATAAATAATTAAACAAATAAATATATTAAACAAAAATTATTAACATTAATTTTTTATTATTATTATTTAATTAAAAAATTTATTTAAAAAATTTTTTTCTCTTGGTTGCCAATATTCGGCCAATATTGGACCAATATTAACAACCGATGCTCGGCGAACCCGTTACATCCCAAGCATCAGCCCATATTGGTCCAATATTGGGAGTCAATCGGCGCCCAGCACGGCAACCAATATTGGACCGATTAAAGTCTACTCTCTAAATCTGAATATGTGAAAATTCACATATTAGTACGTTATAAGTCGTCTTCTCGATCAATAAGTGCATATACACTTATAATAAGTGAAATTTCACTTAGAATAAGTGAAAAATTCACTTATTTATAAGTGTATATGCACTTATTGATCGAGAGGACGACTTATAACGTACAATAAGTGAAATTTCACATATTCAGATTTAGAGAGTATTGGCAATTTCTCACTGGGAAGTTCTTATTTTAGAAGTTATTCAAATTTTTGTAAAACATTGAAAATGTCGATTTTTTAAAAATACTTAAATGAATTATTGGCCAAACGACTTCTGAAATATCTTCTTCTGTTCAAAATTTTATCATCTTTAACCCCTTCAATGTGTAGCTAAAATATAACAAAATGGCCCCGAAATGTGTAAGACCTTCTTGTGAATAAATTTTCATGACACTAGGTACTAAGGGGTTTTTTGGGGTCGCTGATTACGATGCCGGTGTTAGTTTTTAAAAATTCAAAATGGCGGATCCAATACGGCGGTCATGGTTTTGAAAAATTCATTGGATTCGCTTAAAATTCGTTACTCGGGGGTTTTCGTGGTCGCTGATTACGATTCCGGTGTTAGTTTTTAAAAATTCAAAATGGCGGATCCAATATGGCGGTCACGATTATGAAAAATTCATTGCATACGCTTAAAATTTGTTACTCGGGGGTTTTTGGGGTCGCTGATTACGATTCCGGTGTTAGTTTTTTAAAATTTTAAATGGCGGATCCAATATGTCGGTCATGGTTTTGAAAAATTCATTGGATTCGTTTAAAATTTGTTACTAGAGGGTTTCTGTGGTCGCTGATTACAAAACAGTTATTAATTTTTAAAAATTTTAAATGGCAGATCCAATATAGCAACTCATTTTTAAAAATTCATTACATTGGTCTGAAAATTGTTAATCTGGAATTTTCGGGGTCGCTGATTGCTATAATCCGATGTTTTTTGACGAAATAAGCTGTCCAACGAACTCAGGCTTCATTTTAATGGACTAAAAAAGCACCCCAAATTGCAAGTCGATTCATTAAAATTTATTCGAGTTATCGTCGAGACAAAATTTTCTACACGGAAAAAATAAATTTTGTAAGAATTCCTGAATTTGTTCCATAATTGAGGATTTGTGCAAAGTTCCAGAAATTTTTAGAAATTCAATGTAAGTATATCTGAATCGTTCCGAACTAATTACGAAACTGGTTTTGTGAGACTTTCAAAATCAGCATTGTAAATAAATTCCTGGAGAAATACAGGACTGGTCTATAATATTATCGAAATTTTGTCGTAGAAATTATATTTCTTCTAAAATAGTATTTACAAGCGTCTAATCAAGGAGAACTCCAGTTTAAATTTCATAATAATTCCCGAACTTCATCGAAAGAAAAGATGTGCCGACCCCGTTTCTCACAAGCGCTGAATAAAAGTAAAGTCTAGTATATAAGAGACTTCCCAAGTCCCTACAACCAGCGTGCGATTCAATGCGTCGTGTATTTGCGTTTTTTTGTGTATAAATTATGTGTGCGTTAGAATATATGTAGGTAGCTATAAGTGTATTATGTATGTATGTATATGTGTGTGTGTATCCTCCTCAACCAATCACAGTTCGCCTTGCTTGACGAATGTCGATCAAGTATATACGCGTATACACAACTTCTGTTTTTTATTTTCTTTGCTACGGAATTGTTCCGGAACTATTCTGTAGCCCTTATAAGAGCTTCTTCATATGTGACGCTCCACGAGAAAATGGACCTTATTTACTCTTGTCATAAGGTCCCTTTTCTCGTGGAGCGTCACATATATGAAGCGACCCTCTGAATTTTTCCCGAACTCATCGGAAGTTCTACCGTCCAGACTATCTGAAATACTCAGCCGCTACATTTCGTAAAAACTATCACATAAATACCGAGTTCTTACCATATAATTCCTGAATATCTATTTTGAAAGTTCGACATTTCTTCCACATAAGAGCTCTATAATAATTACCGACTTTTGCTCATATCCTCAATTTCGGAACGAATTCAGGAACTATTTCCGAATTATTTTTTTCCGTGTACAGACAGACAGACAGACACTTCTCTAAAAACCATTTTTTTGGATCAGGGGGTCATGAAACGTAAAGATTTACCAAAATTAGAGATTGCTTAAAATCGCACAAATCCAAGACTTTCTCATTTTTGATGAGAATGTAAAAAGCAAATTGTACGAAAAAATTTAAAAAAAGCAAAATATTGGCATATTTTGAGTTCTTTTTTGTTCCTAATCTTGTATATTTACCTAAATTTGTCATCTGAAAAAAAATTAAAGTTTTGACATGTTTTTAATGTTTTTTTAATGTTTTGGCTAATGCTTCACTCACTATAAATCTCAATTTTTTGCACTTTTTTGGAAAAAGAAATTCATAACTTTTTTGTTCTTTGTTGTACAACAAAGTGTCTTAAGGAAAAGTTGCTTGATTTTGTTCAAAATTTAAAGAAAAAAATAAAAAAAAATATTTTTTAAAAAATTTTTAAAAATACAAAATTTTGAAAATTTAAAAATTTAAAAAAAATTCATAACTTTTTTGTTTTTTGTTATACAAAAAAGTGTCTAAAGGAAAAGTTGTTTGTTTTTGCTCAAAATTTAAGGAAAAAATTGGAAAAAAATATTTTTTGAAAATTGTAAAAAATACAAAATTTTGAAAATTTAAAAGTTTTGTATTTTTGTAGTTTTTTGACGAAATGAGCTGTCCAACGAACTCAGGCTTGATTTTAATGGACTAAAAAAGCACTTCAAATTGCAAATCGATTCATTAAAATTTATTCGAGTTATCGTCGAGACAAAATTTTCTACAGACAGACAGACACTTCTCTAAAAACCATTTTTTTGCAATCAGGGGGTCATGAAACGTAAAGATTTACCAAAATTAGAGATTGCTCAAAATCGCACAAATCCAAGATTTTCTCATTTTTGATGAGAATGTAAAAAGCAAATTTTACGAAAAAATTTAAAAAAAGCTAAATTTTGGCTTATTTTGAGTTCTTTTTTGTTCTTAATCTTGTATATTTACCTAAAATTGTCATCTGAAAAAAAATTAATGTTTTGACATGTTTTTAATGTTTTTTTAATGTTTTGGCTAATGCTTAACTCACTATAAATCTCAATTTTTTGCACATTTTTGGAAAAAAAAATTCATAACTTTTTTGTTTTTTGTTGTACAAAAAAGTATCTTAAGGAAAAGTTGCTTGATTTTGTTCAAAATTTAACGAAAAAAATAAAAAAAAAATATTTTTTGAAAATTTTCAAAAATACAAAATTTTGAAAATTTGAAAATTTCAAAAAAATTCATAACTTTTTTGTTTTTTGTTATACAAAAAAGTATCTAAAGGAAAAGTTGTTTGTTTTTGCTCAAAATTTAAGGAAAAAATTGGAACAAAATATTTTTTTGAAAATTGTAAAAAATACAAAATTTTGAAAATTTAAAAGTTTTGTATTTTTGTAGTTTTTTGACGAAATGAGCTGTCCAACAAACTCAGGCTTCATCTTAATGGACTAAAAAAGCACCCCAAATTGCAAGTCGATTTATTAAAATTTATTCGAGTTATCGTCGAGACAAAATTTTCTAAAGACAGACAGACAGACACTTCTCTAAAAACCATTTTTTTGGAATCAGGGGGTCATGAAACGTAAAGATTTATCAAAATTAGAGATTGCTTAAAATCGCACAAATCCAAGACTTTCTCATTTTTGATGAGAATGTAAAAAGCAAATTTTACGAAAAAATTAAAAAAAAGCAAAATTTTGGCATATTTTGAGTTCTTTTTTGTTCCTAATCTTGTATATTTACCTAAATTTGTCATCTGAAAAAGAAAATTAAAGTTTTGACATGTTTTTAATGTTTTTTTAATGTTTTGGCTAATGCTTCACTCACTATAAATCTCAATTTTTTGCACTTTTTTGGAAAAAAAATTCATAACTTTTTTGTTTTTTTAAGAGTAGAGATGATTCTATCACTCAGTCGTATTTTAATAAATAGTGAAAATTAACGATCACTCCGAGTCAAGGAAAATAAAAATAAAAGAAATTCAATTCTTATTACGTTTCGGCAGCACAGCTGTCCTCTTCAGAACTATAATTTATTATAAAAACAAAATATTAAAAAAAGATTTTTTACAATTTTTTACAATTTTTTGATTAACAATAAAAAATTAAAAATAAAATATTTACCGAAAAAAAGAAAATTAGAAAAATTAAAATTATAAATTAAGATAGGTACATCTTTGTCGCTACGATTACAATATGACACTAAACAAATATACAGACAAGTACGAGTGAACGATGTACAATTTTTCAGGGTCAATGCCCCATCGATAAACAAAACTAAGAAAGAGAAATGTCAAGGTAAACTGAAAAGACAGCTGATTATAAATCCTTCTTTTCATTAAGAAAATGAGTATAATAACTACTAAGTTTTAATGTGTCATCTTTTTTATTAATTGAATTTTTTTGTAAGTTAATGTGGATCATTTCAGAAATTAAGCGTTTTTTAAATGAACCTTCTTTATCTAGTACTAAAAATCCATCCCAATCAAAATCATGACCAAGTGAATTGATATGTTCAGCAACAACATTTGATTTTGAAATTTTGTGCTCATTAATACGAACACCCACCATTCTTTTCGTCTGTCCAACATAAGATGCAGAACAGTTTTTGCATCCTATTTTATATACCGAGTTTGTGATTTCAGATTTTTTACTTATATCTTTTCCTTTAATTACCAAGTTATGATTCATGTTCTTATTATTGGTTGGGATAGTTAGAATACTGTACTTATTTAGGAAAGATGAAGTTTTTTCATAAAGATTGGGAACATAAGGCAAGAAAAATTTCGGTAACATTTTGTAAACCGAATTACTTTTGTTACATTGTGAATTTGACTCAATAGAACACATGCGTTTCTTAATGTGCTTATTAATAAATTCGATGGGATAATTATTATTAATTAATATTTTTTCGACAAATTCAATGTTTTTCTTATGGAATTTTTTATTTGAAAGTTTTATTGCCCTATCGACAAGATTGGATACTATGGCAATTTTTTGAGAAAAAGGATGTTTTGATTCATAGTTAATTTTTTTTTGTTTTTTGTTGTACAAAAAAGTGCCTTAAGGAAAAGTTGCTTGATTTTGTTTAAAATTTAACGAAAAAAATAAAAAAAATATTTTTTGAAGATTTTCAAAAATACAAAATTTTGAAAATTTCAAAAAAATTCATAACTTTTTTGTTTTTTGTTATACAAAAAAGTGTCTAAAAAAAAGTTGTTTGTTTTCGCTCAAAATTTAAGAAAAAATTTAGAAAAAAATATTTTTTTGAAAATTGTAAAAAATACAAAATTTTGAAAATTTAAAATTTTTGTATTTTTGTAGTTTTTTAACGAAAGGAGCTGTCCAACGAACTCAGGCTTCATTTTAATGGACTAAAAAAGCACCCCAAATTGCAAGTCGATTCATTAAAATTTATTCGAGTTATCGTCGAGACAAAATTTTCTACAGACAGACAGACAGACACTTCTCTAAAAACCATTTTTTTGAAATCAGGGGGTCATGAAACGTAAAGATTTACCAAAATTAGAGATTGCTCAAAATCGCACAAATCCAAGACTTTCTCATTTTTGATGAGAATGTAAAAAGTAAATTTTACGAAAAAATTTAAAAAAAGCAAAATTTTGGCATATTTTGAGTTCTTTTTCATTCCTAATCTTGTATATTTACCTAAATTTGTCATCTGAAAAAGAAAATTAAAGTTTTGACATGTTTTTAATGTTTTTTTAATGTTTTGGCTAATGCTTCACTCACTATAAATCTCAATTTTTTGCACTTTTTTGGAAAAAAAAATTCATAACTTTTTTGTTTTTTGTTGTACAAAAAAGTGTCTTAAGGAAAAGTTGCTTGATTTTGTTCAAAATTTAACGAAAACAATAAAAAAAAATATTTTTTTGAAAATTTTCAAAAATACAAAATTTTGAATATTTGAAAATTTCAAAAAAGTTCATAACTTTTTTGTTTTTTGTTATACAAAAAAGTGTCTAAAAAAAAGTTGTTTGTTTTCGCTCAAAATTTAAGAAAAAATTTAGAAAAAAATATTTTTTTGAAAATTGTAAAAAATACAAAATTTTGAAAATTTAAAAGTTTTGTATTTTTGTAGTTTTTTGACGAAATGAGCTGTCCAACAAACTTAGGCTTCATTTTAATAAACTAAAAAAGCACCATAAATTGCAAGTCGAATCATAATTTTCTACAGACAGACAGACACTTCTCTAAAAACCATTTTTTTGGAATCAGGGGGTCATGAAACGTAAAGATATACCAAAATTGGAGATTGCTCAAAATCGCACAAATCCAAGACTTTCTCATTTTTGATGAGAATGTAAAAATTGAAAAAATTCTTTGTTTAGTTTAATTATTTTTCAACTTTTTAATTAAAATGTTTAAAAAAAACATTTTCAAAAAAATTTTAAAAACTTGTCAAAAGATTTTAATTATTCATAAAAACTTTATTAAAAACTTTGGGAGCCATTTGTAGATTTATTTATGTTAGAAATCAAATAAATTTAAATTTGATGAGAAAAAAAGACGGGGAAAATTAAGACAAAGGCCGGGAGAAAACCGGGAATTTTATTGAACGAAGATAGTAAACACCCTGGTGTTACATTGACCTAATGTGTACTCTGAGCGTTATTTAAACAGTGAATATAATAACTAACAGAAAATAATAAAATTAGAAACAAAAATAATTCACTTATATATAACGTAAATAAATAGTAGATACAGGGAAAAACAAGACATAAATTCTAGATCCGAAAAATTTTGTAGAAAAGAGAGTTTAAACATATATATAAACTTACCGTTGCCATGACGTTTCCATGTAAATCCTTTATCTCGCGTTTCCAAAGGATATCCTCGGGAAAGAAATGTTTTTCACATACAACTTGTCCACTTTTAACAACAAAATTTTCTCGAGGAAAGGCTTTTTGCCATTTTTCGACAGTTTCTTTCCCTTCCGGGACTGAAAACATGTGGAATTTCTCATGTTTTTCCACTGAGGAATACCCTGAACAGCAATTTGGTGCAATACAGGAAAGACCCTTGTAGGGCATTTCTTTAGGTAATGTTCACACAAAGATTATAAATCAAAATTTTTCAAAAGAAATTTCACCGTTACACCGGTTACTCCATATAAACTGTTAGAAAACAAAGCAGGACGCGAGAGGCGCCATCTGTTGCCGTTTGCGGGAACTACGTGAACTATAGTCACTAAGCATACGTGAGTCTCTAAATGCTAAATCCTACAAGTACACTCAATAACATATATTCCGGTTTGGACAACTTTTTGAAAAGTGGTGTGCCTTCTATAAGAATGTTTTAAGTCTATGGACTTAAACCACAGACTTAAGCCATAGACTTAAAAAATTCTTATAGAAGGCACACCACTTTTTAAAAAGTTGTCCAAACCGGAAGGACAGCATATATGTTATTGAGTGTACTATACGGGTGCCGGGAATCACTGCAGCCTTGTATATAGAACTCCACGTGTATTCTGTCGATTTTTTATATTTTTCTTCATTATTCTGAACTATTTTAGTTTTCTCACATTTTTTTATTACAATATTTTGTGAAATTTTTTCTAATTACGATATGAGTGAACATCATCCAAACAGACTAAAAGTCTTACAAACCAGAAATAAATTTATTAATTAGGCTTTTGAGATGGCCCTTTATCTTGATTTGGGGAGGCACCAAGCTGCCAGAATGTTTGATTATTCTGTTTAATTTTGTGGAGACGTTATCCTGCTTTTAAAAGTTGCCTACTGATGCGTTAAATGCACTATTATTAAAAAACTTTTGAATTTTAGTTTGAGTTAGGTAAGTAAAGAAATTGATTTTCATGAATACGTGATTTATTTATTAATAGTAAAATACCTTTTTTAATACAAGAATGGTTATAGTGTTTTACAATTAGAAAATGTGTGTGTGTTAGAATGTGTATATTGAAACGATACTTTTTTACTTACAAACTACCTGCAGAGCTGCTCCTCTTTCGAATCACAAAACCTCCGTCGGGCGAAAATTATCTTTGTTTTTATTCTTACAGAAAATCACGACGTCAAATTGGCGCAATTTTCTTTAGGTTGTGAGATTGCACCTGTAGGCAAGTGGACGCGGGCAATATCTATATGCAACCGGCCGTCTCACACAATAGTGTAAAAACTCACTGCGGATCCACTCTTTACCAAACTAGTCCGGGCAATATCTATGCAACCGATAGTTTGTTAACGAGTATTGATCACACTTGTGGGCCACCGATATTTGAGACGGACGCGGGCAATATCTATGCAACCGGCCGGTTATACAAATAAGAAGATTCTAGAACTACTAATTAGATTAACAATTCCAAAATCATCCCGCACTGGACTCCACCGGCTCAGAGAATTTAAAAAATTTAACGTCTGTCCTAAATTTCAACGAAAAATTCGGGTTCCGGGTCGCGGATGGGCGAATCACGAATTTTCTCTGTCCCAAAACACTTTCCAGGTTAGACCCAGGAGAGGTGTCTTCGAGAAGAAGCGAGAAGTCGTAGTGCAATGATTAATTATTCGCGACAAGCCTCCAACCCTTACCTTTAGTGCAAAAATGGGGAAAGATTTTAGAAGTAAGAGTAAAGAGTAGGAGTATGTCATGAGCCCATTGGTCTATGCATTTTTGCTGACGTTTTGGATCTCACGGTAGGTCCGTGAGAACGGAAACGGTCTATCAACATGATACTTTTTGAGACATTATTTTTGAAATAACTTAGAATTTAAATAATAATTATATTGTTTAGTTGATAAAATTATTATTTATCTTAGTTATAACAGTGCATATAATTTATTTATTGTAATTATATTATTGACCTACATGTTATAGGTTACTAATATATATATTTCATCTGCATGATCACACATGTATACACATGTAACCTTATGTCCTCCGGTATTTTGTTGTAACAACAATGTTTACAACAAAATGTTTAACTATTGTTAAGTCATTATATGTGCATCTTGATGCATAGGTTTAAATAGCATAAGGCATGCAAGCCTTGTAGCTTTGAGTCAGCTGTAACGCACGTGCGTTTGTTTTGATGCTGTATTCTACAGCTGATGGGCCCTGAGGGGAAAGGAAGGTTCCATGCACAACAAGGTAGCGGTTAAAGGCAAGCATAGCGTGCTTGTATTGGTGCTGCAGCATGGAGGCCGTGAAAGTATTGGTGCTGTAGCCGGGGAAGTCAGCGAGTGTGTTGGTGCCTATATACGGCAGTAACTCAACTGTGTGTATTGCCGTCGTCCCTCCACACACACGTACAA